TGCACACAACTGGCTTCCACAAGAAGATTATAATACTATTTAATCCATATTCCAAAGAAGCCTTATTTTCAGTTTGTGACAGAGGAGAGAAATAATTTGCCAATGAGTTCAACGTGAAGTATTATTTAAATATGCACATCCTTCTGGAACAATAGCTGTGTAAATGGTAGACAACACAGTACATGAAAACCCACAGAACATATATGTTTTAATAAATTCTGCATTTTTTCTTTCCAGTAAAAGTTAACTCCATCCTGTTACGAAGAAATTCTGTTTTCAGAAGTAAAGTTCATGAAAACATCAAGAGATATAACAAAATCTGGTACCAGATGCCTATTTGAACACCCTTTTTCTGGTCCTCTTAGGACAACTCAAGTGAATGACTGAGGAGAGGGAAGCATTATTGAGTTTATATAGTACATGTGGTTTGCCAAAATATATCAAACATATAATGTTTTAGATTTTTTTAATCTTAGTGTGCTCTGATCTTTAATAACTTCTTGGACAATGATTTTCACAGTCTGACAACATAAAAAATGAAAAAGAGTTCTTTTGATATAATTTATCAGTTTGTTACAGTTAAATAGTGTAAAATATTCTCTTGTGTTACAAGGAGAGGGGGGGCAGCAAGTCAAAATGAATCTATCTTTCTGTTCATTATTTTTCGTAATTTGCTTTACTCAAATGCCCTCACTCCATTCCACTAGAGCACTCCAACTAGAGCAGAAGTATAGAACAAGAAAACCAGCCTGAAGGATGAAACCACCTCCCAGGCCCACACTGAACTGTTCACCAACCAATCTTGCTGAACTCTTAGCTTGGTGAATGCATTATTACCTCTTGTCCTCTGCGATTTTTTTCTCAGTGTTACATCTGACTGATCTAATCAATCATTGCTGATTTCACCGTGAAATGGAAAAATATTGGGTTTGTTAAAAGCATATGAAATATGAGACATAGAACATTTTGTAAAATATTCTGTATTAAGGATTCATATAGTTTCTCATGTATTGAATCGTTTAAGCCTCCATCCTTTCTTCAGTGGTCTCAAACTAAATGTATTGGTGGGCTGGGACTATAATTCTTCTGCCTAGGCATTTTGCCAGTAACTTNTTAAGAAAAAGGTTAAGAATTGTTCTGTTGTTTGTCATTGTCCTAGTTAGGACAGCTGAGACCAGTTCATCATGGTATGGGTGTAACCCAAAACTGTGTATTCTATAGCCTTCCATGCCATTTCCCAGAAATTGTTAGCAGTAGAGTCCTGTAGATGTTCCTGTCCTCATACCCTTTTATGGAATTCCTCGCTCTGAGGGAAGGACTGAGCATTCCTACCTGAACTGGAGAATATATAAACTTGGAGTTTTGGAACCTTTTTTACCACTTGTGGGATCCAAGGAAGACTGCAGCTCACCGCTCTCAACCAGACTGCAGCTCACCACCCTCAACTGGACTGCAATCACCACTTTTGACCAGACTGCAACAACTCTCCCACGAGCAGGTTTTTCCCCTCTCCCTTTACCTTGGACTCGGGGGGGGGAGGGGGGGGCAAGAAACACCACTTTGTTCATGCCCCAGGGTGCTGGGTTATACATTTGGGTTTTGTGGGTTAAGACCAATTGTCTGTCTGTATAATTGTACTTATTGTATTATTTTATTAAATTGTTATTCTGATTTGTAATCTCTCTTTTGAGTTGAGTTCATTTCCCCTGCTGGTTAACTTTTAAACCAGCATAGTCGTAATGTTAAAAATTGTTCTATCACTTGTTATAATAAAGAGAGGAGAAATGTGGGATCGTGTTATAGGAAGGGTGCTGAATAGCACTCTGGGAGATGTAGTTTCCCAAGTACTCTATCACACATGCAATGAAGTGCCTTGGTGTGATTGGTTAAGGTCACATGCTGTGACCCACAGGTCACATGCTATTCAAACCCACATATAAGTTGTTTCATTTGAATAAAAGGATTCAGTTGTTCGACCCCTAACCAGTTGGGTCTATGTGGGTTTATTTATTTATTATATTAATAAAGCCATATCCAGCAAGCCCCTACTGCTCAGATTTGCCCAGTATTCACAATAATGTGATAGGAAAGGACTTAATTACTAATAATAGTAAATCCTATTATAAAATCAATACTTTCCTAGCTAATAGTAATAAAAG